TTAAGGTTGCCAAGGTTGGACACCCATGCTCTAGACCAGGGCTTTTCAACTGGTGGTACGTGTTATCACCTGTGGTACTTTGTCACATGGCAGGTGGTATGTGACTGCTAGCCAAGTGTAGCAGGGGAGGGGAATGAGCCGAAACGACCCAAGCCTGAGGAAGAGGCAGCTGCAGCTACAGGACTGTCTGGACTCAGCAGAAGCCCAGAAGCCGGCAGAGCTCCAGCTAATTGGCTCCAGCTGATTGGTGCTTTTGGAAGCAGCAGGGATCTGGAGGTGAACTGAAGAAAAAGGGGAGGGAGGAGAGGCTATAAAACAGAGATGCCAAATTCGCGACGTCACTTGACGTCGCGCAACGTATTGGGACAGTTTTGCCATTGCTGGCAATGGGGTGGGCGTGGCTTCCAGATGACGCGTCTGGCCCACGGGCCGGCAGTTTGACATCCCTGCTATAAAAGGAGGTGATTTGGGTGTGAAAGGGAAAAAAAGACAACAGGGAAAGAGAAGGAGAGGTTAGCAGGCAGGGAGGAAACAGGGACAGAGAAGAAGCAGCAGCTGTTGCTGGAAGAAAAGGTCCCCTTGTTCATTTTCACCAGCCAGGAGAATGCAATCAGTGCTGATGAAATGAAAAGCAGGCATGTCAGAAAGGAGGTGGATTTATTCAGTTCTGGATCAGCTGGCAGCTTGATTGGGTTACCATAAGGATTTTTGTACAATTTTTACAGCATTTTGTAATTCAGAGGCTCCCTTGTGTGCTTTGGTTATTGGAATATTTTAGTCTGTATTTTAGCAATGAGTCCAGTGTTGACTTCCATAAGTTTAATCCCTTTAAACAAATGTAATTAGTTTTACCCCCTTATCTTGAATCTGTCTATGGCTTTTAGAAAGTTTTCTTTGAAGGTAAACAGACTTAACTTTAAAGCTAAAGCTTTCCCCAATTGCTGGAGCCTTTTAGTCTTGGATTGCAACATTGTGACACATGACACACCTGAGGTAGCTTAAAGAAAAAAAAACCCCAGAGTTTATGTATTTCTTTATTTTGTGAGCCTTTCTTGCTTTGCACTTGATTCCTGTGTCTTTAAGGGTACAGGGAAGGGATTGGGGGGGTACATTCTTACTACACTGTGGAAGGAGAGCTAAGAAGCGCCCACCAGCTAGCTCAGGGGTCTACAAACGTAGCAACTTTAAGACCTGTGAACTTCAACTCCCAGAATTCCTTATCCAGCCATCATGGCTGAGGGATTCTGGGAGTTGAAGTCCACAAGTCTTAAAAGTGCCAAGCTAGCTGGCAGTGGTGTATATTAATAAACATGGATAAATTCATCATACATTTGTCAGTGCAAAGGGAAAATGATTCAGCAAAGGAACACCCACCAAAGAAATTAAAACTGGTACTTTTTTCCTTTTTTTTATAGTTTGTAATATTTTATTAGATTATAGAATAAAATACAAAAATACAAAAGCAAATAGTAGGACACAGTGGGGAGGAAAAAGGGGAAAAAAGCGAGGGAGAGAAGGGAAAAAGAACAGACTTCCTCTGTTGCAGTAGAAGGAAGCATTATCATTGAACCTCAACTTTTTACTTTTCCATAATATTATAAAACAGCCATTTCTATAACAACAAATGAATCTAATCAGCAAAACTCAAAATCCCCCTCCCTTTTTTTAATGATCAAGTTTTTGACACTTTGCTAAGCACTGGTGGTACTCAAATATTGTCATGTCCTAAAAGTGGTACAATCTGTGAAAAGGTTGAAAAGCCCTGCTCTAGACTAAACTCTGCAAACTAATTAGACAATTAAGTAAATATCTTGAGTATTTTTTAAAATATTCAATAACAGATTGTCAGAATAATAACACATCTTTAAGTTGACCTTTAAATGGTTGAAAATTAAAATAATTGGTATTCTAGTTGTTGTCATTATGGTTTTTAAGCCAAGGCTGCATTTCCTTTTATTTAAACAGCAGAAAATAATTAACAAATCCTGATTAAATCTGTGATTTTTAATCAGAAGCTTGTGTTTTAGAAGGTCAACTGTATGCCATTGTCATGTTATATGTGGCAAAAACTATGTAAAACATTTCTGTTATCTGAAAATCTCTGTTGCTCCCAACTTAATATTTATTAATAGTTTCTTTTACATAGCAGTTAAGATCTATAGAAAATTAAAAACCAAAAAAGGTTAAACCATTTTTAAAATGTTGCAAAAACCCTTGTGGGAATAACATGTAATTGAGATGAAAGATTTACTGGTAATCTCATTCTCATTAGACTTTTTAAAACATCTGTACTTCTTTCCTTTTAAACTAATGCTGCCAAATCGATTTTAAAGGAAACTCCTAGGCCATTAATGATTTACAAGCAAATGTCGACTAAGGATTTTATTATGTTCAGAATATTTGCACATGTTAAATGCAGTAAAAGTAACGTAAAACCTGCCATTACACAGTTGTAATTGACAAATAGGTCCTATTGACTTCTGATAGTTCACCAGGGACTCAGTTTTAGGCATCGTCCAGTAAGGCAAAAGTTTGTCAGTATGATAATGAGACATAGGCAGAGTGGACACTGTACTCAAAGGCAGCTGTGTAGGAGCTTCCTGAATAAGTTATACAGTAGGACTACTAAGTCAAAGGCTAAGAGGGTGGGGCAAAAGGGAATGATATTCTATGTCCCTGTTGATAAAGTTCTAGATGTAGCATGTGGCTATCATACTGAACTTCGCACTGAATTTATTCTTTATTGCCATAGCGATAGCACATTTGTTCCCTGATCATTCTAGAATATATATTTTTTGACTTCATCTTATTAATTTATTTATTTGCTTCATTTTAATTTATTTGACATCATGGTTTTTCTCTATGTATAAAGGCATAGAGTTTTGGACAAAGCATCACTGCCTCTCTTCCTGATGAAACTGCTAACTTTGCTTTATGGCCTTATTCCAAAAGTACCAGCATAGTGAAACAAAGTTCCCCACTCAGATGGGCCTAGTTATTCTCCTTTGTGCCTACTAGGTTCTCATAAGCTCCGCCAAGCATTTACAAAATGGATGTAATGCAGTTGCTCACCCTGTTCAGAAGTCAGGCTTTGTGAACTTGCTGCTAGAGAGGCAGTCTCCTAAGGCTTTGTCACTTTTTTTATCTCTCTCCAAAGCTCCTACTGTGTTCCAGACATTGCCTGGGGAACTGTCTTATCTTCTCCCAAGCATGTTTGAGCAACCCATCTCTGGCAGAAAATCCAGATTGCTGTTGCATTGGGGCAATTCCTTGTTACTTTACTTTAGAGCCTTCTGTTTGCATCAATGTCCTCCCGGAAGCTATTTATCACAATGACCATAAGATATCTGAAGCATGAGAAGCATTGGTCTGAATATTAAGTCCAGAGAGCATGAATCCAAAAGTGCAGTTGCTCTCATTTCTACTTAGTGAAATGTCACTGGAATCTGACTATGGAACATTATATTGTACCTATAGGCCTCTGGTTTCATCTGGCTACAGAGCGGAAGCCTCCTTCATACTTTGTTGCAACTGGGAACAGGAAAATGGGACTAATAACATGAGGTATTGGAAACAAGGCTTCCAGTGATGGGATTCAGTCGGTTCGCACCGTTTCGGTAGAACTGGTAGCTGAATTTTGCTAAACTTCAGAGAACCGGTTGAATGCACACTTCTTCCGGAAGTCCAGTCTAGCCTTGGAGACCTAGAGGAGGCCTCCCAGGCTTAGAACGGCCCACCGGAAATACATGGATGCCACTTCTGGAAGTCCATTCTAGCCCTCTTAGGCCCAGGTCTGCCTCCAATAAGAGAACCGGTTGTTCAGGTATTTGAATCCCACCACTGCAGGCTTCCATATATAGCCTTCACACCCTCTTAAAGTGAATCTTCACAAATTGTTGCAGCACATTCAAGCTAATTAGTCAATCATACAGTATCTTTTGTTTAGTGGCTGTCTTGACCATTGGTAGCTACAGTGGTGATGAAAAACAAACTGTGATCAATCGTCGAATTTACAACCTTTGTAGATCTGTAAAGCAAAGGAAAGCTAAATTAAGGTTGTAAGCACAGTTGTGATTTCACTTAGTGACTGGTTTGCTTAATGACTGAGTTGCTGGTACTCATTGTGGTCACTAAATGAGGATTACCTGTACTTTCTCTCAGCATCCTCTAGGATTGATCAATCTGGTTTCTCCAGATGGCTTTCTGACTATAAATATTGTGAATTACAGTATCTACCCATCTAAAAGATTCCAACGGGCAATTCTATGCTAATTCCTTTTCTCCCTGATTTTCAGTCTCTACTGGGATAAATTGGAAGGGTTGTGACTGTGTACTGTATATTTATCTGATATTTGTTCAATTTTTAAAAATCTTATCTAAAGATTCTATTAAGCATGGCACATAATTTCTCTTTTTGTTGACATAAGGATATGAAATTAAGGTGAGTTTGTTTATTATGTGGTATTGATTCAGAAGTTTCCTGAATAGTGGAGAGAGGAGCAAAGCATCCTAAGCAGGATCTAGCTCTTAAAACTTAAACCAGACTGCTTTCTGCTAGAAATTCACATTTAATAATGGCAGCATTGGCCTCTAGTCTCTGTTAAAATCTTTCTTTCCATTCCCTCACTAAGATGGTCAACAACAACAACAATCCAAGAACCCCGTGATAGTAGTATTCACACCCAAACATTTTGCAGGCCCAACGGGACCCTCTAGTTCAGCTAATGGTTGTCTTTCAAATGTTTGCTTATTTATCTCTTCCTCCTTAGATTTGCTCCCTGCCCAAAAGGCCCTCAAACATCAGATGAGGAAGTAAAAAAAATATTCAAAAAAGCGAGTCAGGGCATATCCACTTGCTGGGTGATAATAGCACACTGTTCAATTAACTGAGGTGATTATTAGTATACTAATAATAAGTTATAATATAAAAACTCTGATTAAATTTTGTAAATGCTAAATTATAACATAAAAAGATGCTGATTATTATTATTATTTTGCAGCTGATCTCTTGACTGATTTACTCAACTCAAAAGAATTAACTCTGCTGTTTAAAAAGATGGACGTCCCAGCCAAATATCCTGGGGAAGAGAAGGACAAGGCATGAAGAACCTCGAATTTGGGTGTTGGAAAAATATTGAAGCATGAAGAAGGGACTTAGACTATCTCAGCACATCGCCACAGTGAGATCTCGGCTCTCTCACTTTAGGATCTGCTAGGTGGAATCATTTTTTCTTCCTAGTAGTTTAATCTTAATACCGGGTAAACCCAGCATCCTTTTTAAATATCAGTCATTTTGATACGGTCAACTTTGCCTCTGATTGGAAACATGTGTTTGTCTGCTGAGGATGATAAATAGGGGTAGCGGTTCCCCCCCCCCCCGCATCTGGATCTTTTCTAATGCAGCAAAAGATCCTGATTTCAAGGAGCAGCGGCAGCTTGAGGGCAGCATTTCCATCCTGAAGAAGTGGGCTGAATTTCCTCATAAAAAATCCTAAACCTTTAAAAGGTTGAAGAGGCTGTGCCTGTCCGCACAAGCAGCTATCAAGGGGAGGAAAGGAGCTGAGAAGGAGCCCTGTGAGAAAATAAATCTGAAAAATAAAGTGGGAGGTTCTTCTCCATCCATTATTTAAAGCTGCTCACAGCTTTGCAGCAGCAAAATGCATTCTGTGGTTTTTCCATAGACAATGGTCCTCCTGCAGACTTGAAGTCTGCATGGTAGGATTTTTAAACGTGAGTAGGATTGTGGATTAAAAATGGCTTTATATAGGGAGGAGGGATACTTTTACTGCTCAAAGTTTGTAAATCTGAATGCCATCTAATTTTGTGGGAGTTTTTGAAAAACACGGACATGTACATTCCTATTTTTTTTCCTAAAATGTTCACACTTAGAAATATATTTTTCTCATTTCAAAATGTACTTTATTACAAAGCGTGTATTTCTGCATATTTTAGAGTGAAAACAAACCATGGCAAAATTCAGAAAATTGCAAAATCTATGTCCTGATCCATGCTTTAGTCAAAGAGGTTGAGATCATGTTGACTTCCTTTTAATACATAAAATAAAATTATAACCACAATCTCTAAAATTGTTTCAGTGCACATATACAATAGATCTTACATATTCATATCTCCAGATATCAGAAATAGTAAGAAAAACTACAGCCAACAAAACAGCCAAAAAAATAAAACAGCTTAATATAGTGAAAACTTATTAATAAAAAAAGATTAAACAAACAGAAATCACTGAAACAGATTTTTTTTTTGCACATCAACAACAACAACAACAACAATAATAATAATAATTGGAATGTATTTGTCTATTATGTTTATTTTTTTACAAATATTGTGGATCTCACATAAGTTTATATTCATAAACACATTACTGTCTCTACATAGTAATTAAGAGCTATTTTTCTGCCAGTTAAGATGCTGGCCTTCACCATTTATATCCTCCTTCCAATCCCTTCAAAACAATGTTGATTTGTGGCTTCTGCATTTTTGCCAACCTTGGAATGATGCAAATATGCAGGAATTGGCCATTAACCAATCAGCTGACCAGTAAGAAGCTGCAGAGATTGTTGTTCAATCAGTGATGCCACTCTGTCCACTTCTATCTATATTTCCAGGATATGCTATTTGCATTTCCCTGTTTTTCAGAAAATGTGAATCGTTCCTAAGGGATTGCTGTGAACAGCCGGCCATCCTTTTTCTGCTGCATTCTTCAGCCCCTGTGATGGTGAGAAAATAGCACATTGGCAGCTGATACATTTCAGACAATACCTACAAGGCAAGCAACAGTGGAAGCTCTGTGGCATAGTGGAAAGTGAAATGGTTGCTGTGAGTACAGGGCTGAGGAAAGAGTTCCTACTACAGAGAAAATGTACTGCTTTTATTAAGTTTTGCAGAACTGCATGATTACAAAGGAAAAAGATATTTGCAAATAAACTTAAAAGGAGCCAAAAGGGGAAAAAAGCATCTTCACCATCTTGGATTAAACAGTGTCATCTGGAAGTGTTCCTTCTCTGCCATGGTTCTTGTCCTTTGGTTCTTGTCCCTCTTTGTCCTTCCTGAAATCCATGTCGTCCCCACCCTGCTTTTTTTGTTTGCTATTTTTGGCTGTGTATTGTGCTCGGATCCCATCCTACTTTTTGGTTGGTACTGGCTTATTATTATTATTATTATTTGTCAACCACTCATAGCCAATTGGAGTTGGGTGATGTCTAAATTGAATGAATGAATGATTAAATAAACAAACAAACAAATAAATAAATACTTTTTTAAAATTAACGAATAGGTCAGTGCCACAAAACAATTATAACTCACAGAAATTCATCTCTGTTGTTTTCCATGTCATAAACTAAAGTATGCACACAGATTAAATTATTTTCTCCTTACGATCACAACAGAAGCTCTGAATTCATATTCTTATATAAACAATAATCTTTATTAGTTCATTTTTAGATGAAAATTTTCCCCTTTGTACATTGTAGTTCAAGCTTTGAAAACCTCATAGTATCTTTTTTTGTGACAATTTATTTTTACATTGGGTCTTGAAGGGAATATAAGACTTTATTTTCTTAATGTGATTTTTATGTGAGAGTTGGATGAAAAGTCCGTAACTATAGTTTAAACAAGATTATTTTAATAAATCAATTAATAAATAAAACAGGAAAATAATATTTAAAATCATTTCTTTTGTTACCTGTATTTATATAAAGTCTTTTACATAATCGCTATGATTTGCTACATACCTGTGACAACAATGGATAGACTTCTTAAGCTATTATGAAAGAATTCAATTCTTTTCTATTAGGTCCTGAGGTGTTCTTTCTACTTCTTCTACCTTTGCTGTTCTGACACAATAATTAAGCAGAGTCAAAAGCACAAGAAGGAACGTCTGCTGTCACATGACAACACTAAGCCTCACATGTTATGAGCCACTTACAGGGCAGTTGCAAAGTTGAATCTCATAATTTTACCCTATCTGCCATGCAGAGCAGATTTGATGCCAGGTGATGTTTACTTTTTCTCAAAATGGAAGGAACATCTTCATAAAGAGATGGACTAACCTCCTTTCCTCATTTATTTTTTAATTTTAAAACAAAATTTTAAAAGAAGCTAACATCATACAAAGGAAAGCATAAATCAGCCTAGTCATTATTATTTCCATGAATTATTTGGATTTAACATATTATAGGCCCTGCAGATATTTTTTAAAAAATAAGAATAATGAAAAGCTGCAGCTCAGAACTCAGATACTGCACTTGCTGTAATATTAGTAGCAGTAGCAATTAAGTTTGTAGTGAACATCCTGGGGGCTAGACAGAGTGATAGGGATATATCTCGTTAGTGTATCTTCTGAGAAATGTGCATTTTGTGACTGAACCAACTTACTGTTGTCAGATTTTTTTTTTAAAAAAAATATGGAAGTCTTCTTCCCAGGAGCAATCATTTTCTTTGAGCTCTAAAGTGATGCTTGAAAAATAATGTATTGTACCACTGGACTAAAATGCTGGGGATTCCTACTTTATTTTATGCACCCTTGTGATAGTATCCTACTTCTAAGAGGTGAGAAATTTCAAGACTGCTATTGCAATCTATTCCAATGGTTACGTTTCCTTAGAAGAAGAAAACAATGCTTGAGGGCATTTCTGTAATATTAGATTTCTATGCAGTGAGTGTGAAATGTCAGCTTAATGCATTAACACCGTAAAAAAAAGTTCCCAATACCAGATGATTTCTTATAGAGAGCAAAACCTCTTCTTCAAAGCAGATTGACTGAAAATGTTAGGTTAGGTCACTCCCCCATCTATTGCACTATTACCATAAATTGGGAAGTCACTTTTCATTCATGCAATTTTCAGGGCATAGCTGCGGAAGATTGTGTCCAGCCACTGATGTCCAATCACAATATTTCAAATCCTTCTGATAAGACCAATATGGCAAGTTAGTCAATTCTACTTTCCAGATTTTGTGGTTGGGCTGAACTAACTACTCTTTTTTTAAATCAGGGATATAGAATATGATTATAGTATCACCCAATCATTGTTAAGACAATATAAATAAAGTCTGTCCTCAGGAGATGTATGTGAATACAATGAATGACTGTAGAAGACAATATAAATCACTAGTGAAGAAATGGCCCAAATGAGAAATAAAGATCCAAAAAGCCCTTTTCATTTTATCAGCTCAACCCCATGGGTAGCCATGGGTAGTATATATACATATAATAACATGTGCTGGATGATTATTTGCTGGGATTTGACATAGATACTTGTACTGTAAGAGTGTTCTTATAGGTTAATGTGCCAGGAAGAAAAAAAATGGATTCCTTTCAGCAGTTGTATAACAAATAACATTTTTATTTCAAGTGCTAGAAATATCTTATGGTTATTGTTGAGAATCTTTTCTCACATGATATATGGTCAATAGGGTGTTCCAAGTATTCGAAACGAAGACACCCTAACAAAAAGGTAATACAAAATGGCTAGACTGAAATGTAGAATATGCACAGATCTACCTCCTTATTTTCATTATATGTTTTACTGGCTTTTCTTTCTGTCCAAAACATTTAGCAAGATCTTGCTGTGCTTTGCCCCAAGCATTTATCACATTTCCCTGTGACAGGAGAATAGAAAGCAACATTTGCAGTTACCACTAAGTTGATTAAACTTTTTGAAGTTCGGTGACAGATCAACAAAAACCAGCAACAGAAAATTCATTAAAAAAAATATGAGAAGAGGAAGTTGTGCAAAATGGGGTAATTAATCTTGCAATAAAAATAATTGTTTACAGTTAAAATTAATGTAACATGTATTCCTCAGCAGATAATAAATTATGGGTTTTCTCATTAGCATTTGAATTGATTTCCTCTAATTTCGAAGAAACACTTGAGCATGTGACCAGATTAAGTTTAATTGTACTACAGCTGGTGCCGATTGTGGGTGGATAGACGTAAGAGGTTTTCTGATGTTTGTTATCCCTTTCCCTCTTCAACCTTTATTTCATACTTAGATATCATAAAGAAAGTGTGTGCTGTTTGAAACTATTTGGTTGTATTTTCCAGCATGGTGTTCACCAGATGCGATTCTCTATGGATAAGTAATGTAAGTCTAGTGAGAGGTGGAGAGGGAGTAAATGTAATTATTTCATACTGGGTTTTGGAGGGACCTGTTCACATAAATCAATGTAATATAGAACAATGTTTTGCTTTTTTAAAAAAAGAAACAGACATTGCAATATTTATTTTAGAAATCTAACATGATTTGATAGCACATGAAGGAGATCCTGAAAGGATCTTTTGAGGCCAATATTCTCTCCATGACTTTGATAATCAAGATCAGGGGTCTTCAAACTTGGCCCTTTTATGACTTGTGGACTTCATCTCCCAGAATTCCTCAGCCAGGCATGCTGGCTGAGGAATTCTGGGAATTGAAGTCCACAAGTCATAAAAGGGCCAGGTTTGAAGACCCCCTGATCAAGATGGTGAATTATTAGCCCAATATTAGCCCAATGCTCTTTTACTAGTCATTGTCATGATTGTTTCCAAACTAAAATCGTCGCAATTTTATCTCTTTTCATTTCTTGCATTTATTACCATACCATTGGGAAAAGTTATTGAAGTCCCTTATTCCATCCAGACCAGCTGGCCTTTCAAAGAATAATCCAGCTGTATAGACCCCAGTGGGGGTCACCTGACCCCTGAGAGCCAATAGAGCAGTGATGGCGAACTTTTTAGAGACCGAGTGCCCAAACTGCAACCCAAAACCCACGTATGCATCGTCGAGTGCCGGTGGGTGTGGCCCATTGGCTGAGTGTGGCCCATTGGCTGAGTGTGGCTGCGGTGGCAACGCCAGACTGGGTGGGACTAAAAAGTTCAATCAATCAATTCCAACTTTGCAAGATCTTTTTTTTCCCCGCAAGAAGTTGGAATTGACTGATTGATTGAACCTTTTTTTTTTTTTTGCACACGGCGGTGGAGGCCTAAAGCGAAAAGGTTTTATAAAACCCAGCTGAAGGCCTAGGACTGGGGCGATGGCACGCGTGCCCACAGAGAGGGCTCTGAGTGCCGCCTCTGGCACCCGTGCCATAGGTTCGCCACCACTACAATAGAGGAAAAGAAAAGGGTTTTGACAGGTTTGAGCAGGATGAATTTCGGGTATTTGGCTACTTTGTGAGAGAATTGGCTGGAGTCCTGTAGGTGGTAAGGTTGAAAAGGAGGAATTGTTTTGTTGTAGGCTAAAATTATTTGGGGGTGTTTTAAACTCTATGTTGTATGTGTGAAAACTGTCTTCCTAGAGTTGCCCTGGTGCATTTAGTGCTCACTCAGCTTTAGCTCCAAATTTCAAAAGATTGTTCGCTCTTCTAGCAGTTTAGCCAGGCCTGGGCAGGGTAAGGGTAACTCTTTCAGCTTCCCCCGCAGTTCAGATGCAATAAAGGGGTGGTGGCAGCAGCAAGGGAATTGCCAGTCTTGCGAGGCAGTCTAGACAAAAGAAAAAGCACATCCAGGTATACTAGCTCTATTTTTATTGTAAGGTTCCATTAACAGAATCTTGCAAATATAAAAATACTCTCCTGTCCCTCACTTTTATCTCCTGAAAAATAGGGTCCCATTTTGAGATGCTTTTGCTACTCTCCCCCTTCTGTAGACACTGTTCATCCCCAGGCATGGGTTGCTTCAAGACCAAGGGACCGCAGAGAGAGGGACAAGCTTGACTCTGAAGGCATCTTCATCATTACAGTCATAAATGAACTACAATTTAGAAAAAAATGGCTATTCACTTTAAGCACAGACATGGATTAGTCACTGAACGAAGACATGGAGGATAATGCAACATGATAGCCATGCTTGATCGTACTGCTGAGGATTATAGGAGCTGTAATTCAGTGCATGTGGACATTAGTGGGAAAGGCTGACTTAGATAAGGACTCTTTGGCTGTAGAGAGATTCAAATTCAAAGGGGAAAAGGGGATCTGGAGCAGGCTGCCATGTTCTGACTGCCTAAGTATATGACAGCCATGGAAACATGTTTTTTGTTCCTCCCCACTGTACATGATCACCACTTTTTTCATCATTCTCTAGAGCAGTGGTTCTCAACCTTTTTAATGGCATGAACCCCAACCGGTTGTAAGTTGAGGACTACTCAACCGGTCGTAAGTCGAGGACTACTCAACTGGTGCAGCACCGTTTGCAGAATGGGACTTTTGGTGGGCTCAGCAGGGCAGAGACAGCCTGGACAATTCCTATTGGCTTTTGAAAGCCAATAGAAGTAGACTCTATTCAAGAGAGTCTATTCTATTGGCTTTCAAAAGCCAATAGAATAAAAGGGAGTAGCACAGCTAAGGAAAACAGGAAAAATTGGTGGACTGCGTTGTTTGGCGACCCCAGTGAAATGGTCATTCGACCCCAAATGGGGTCCCAACCTACAGGTTGAGAACTACTGCTCTAGAGCCATGTTTCTTTAAAATTTTTGCTCTCAGGACCTCTTCTCATTTTTAATAATGATTGAAAACACCCAAAGAGCTTTTATATGTAGGAGTTATATTTGTTGATATTTACTGTATTAAAAATTAAACTGACACATTCATGTAATACGTATTTATTTTTTTGAATCATGTAAAAATAACAATATTAAA